AGTAAGGAGATTTAGTAGGCGTGTTAGGGGCTGTAGTGGGGGCTTAGGGGTGTAGTAATGAGTAACTGGCTTTACAAGGGGGTGCTAGGGGCTTTAGTAGGGAAGGTTAGGGGCCCTAGTGTATGGTAAGGGGTGTATTAGGGCATAGGGGCTGCACTTGGAGGGCTGAAGAAAAATAAAAACTAGTGTACTTTGGGTCAGGGAACGGGGGAATCCTGTTCTTTGTTGGTCCAGTTGGAGTTGTCCTGCCGTGCAGACAGTTCCTTCCAGCATGTGTACCAAAAAAACCAAGTAAAACAGGCGCTAACCAAATTTCTACAATAAATCTTAATAAATGTGTTAAAAAACACCTTTCTATGTGATTATATATCTGCAACCTTAAAAGTGCAAATAACTCACAAAACACTTAAAATATCAACAAAAACAAAAAAGCTGCGCTGTGTCTTTAAGACAATGTAAATATTTTTCTGAAAGTGCAGTTAAAGTGCAATATAAAATAGTATTGTGCAATATAACATCTGTATAAAATCATGATGTCTTAAAAGTGTAAAACCATTTGTGCTCACCATAAAATAAAAGAGCACTTACAATATTCTTAACTCTTATAGTAGATGTTCCTCTCCAATGTTCAGCGTATATACAATGTAAACAAAGGAAAAAAAGAAAAGATATATAGTGTAATACAGTAGGGTAATATCTTATATAGTGTAAAAAGATAGAATCCCCACTCACAAGTCAGGAGTAGAAAAGTCTGCTCTAGCTGTATTCGCGTGAAATATCACCTCCCACTCCGTCTTCCTCCCTTTAAACCTGAACAGTGTCCTTTTGGTTTTCGCCGCCGGCTTGGCGTTACCACGGGCTGCAGGTTTATGAATATTTTGTGGAGGCGGAGCTTTGTACGGGACGTGACGGCCGGATGTGGCATGACGACGTGTTTTGCCTGCAATGGGCTTCCTCAGATCACACTCCCCTTTGCTGCTGTCATCCTTCTAAATCTCCCACAACGGGCGTATTCTTTCAAAGTCCATAAAATCATTGACTATCGTCAAACTGCTTATGTAAAATAGTCTCCATATTGAAATGTCATCACCTAAACATTAAACCAGATATCCAAATACAAATGCTAATACATTCCTAATTCAAATGGGAAAACACTAGCATACTACATTATCAGTAAATTTATTCTAAAACTCTTAAAAAATAAAATCTGCTAATCATAAAATTATGGGAACCTGCTATTTATGGAAGGAAAAGTGAAAGACATTAGTATTATACCTAAAAATAGAACATTTATTATAACAATATCATATAAAAAAAAAACTATTTATATAAAATATGTTTCTAGACAAAATATTATAATAACTTATAGGCAGACTATATAATAAAATCCATTGAAAATTATAAAAAAAATATACAAATGAAATTCTATATTAAGCCCCTTAGGCTGCAATGTTCCTAGTCTATATACCCATCTCATTTCCTCTTTACCGCCAACAGATGGTCCAGGATTTTTTAACTGTTTGAATCCCTAAGAAAATAAACCACTCGGGTCTTTCAGTTCCTTCCAGCAGCCAACGCCGCTGGGGTAAGTATCAGGGGTGGGGCCTATTGCTGCCCATGCACTTCTATCTACAACTGGTGTAGATAGAAGGGCAGCAGCGAAGCAGGGCCATTGGAAGTGCTCTCATCGTGCTGCACTTCAATCTTGGTGGGGGGGGGGGCAATTGCCACTGTGGGACCCATCAATGTAAATGTCGAACTGTTTGCTCATCTGGAGAATCATCTTCTCCGTGTGAGCAGTATGCTCTTTGCATTGAGTGACAGTGCAGGACTTAGCTCACTGGCAATTAGCAGACACTCTGAGCCAATGAACTGGACCTGTACAGCATGGCTTAGCTCAGAAGTACTAACAGAAGCACATAGCAGGAGGTATTAGCAAATGGTTTGACTACATACATTGAAAAGGGCACCAGGGCATTCCTGACAACATAACTACAACACTCTCCTGCAGTGGTTATGGTGCTTGAAGTGTTCATTTAAGTTAGCATGTAGAAAGAACACATGAGGTACAGAAAGATATAACTGGGTTTGAAACCTTTAAACGGGAATTGACAATTGCAAATGAATCAGTAAAAATATCTGTACAGCATTGAGAACAGAGTTAATTTGATCTTTTAATATCTCTTAACCAAAACTACTTTTAGGACTTTTTGATTTAACACACAGTCAGTCATTGCCTTCAATACAATTATGAAGGTTATACGTATTATGGTAATGTTTGGTAACTTTGGAGGGCACTTTCAAGAGTGACAAGAACATGATTTGATTCCATTAATATTATACTAACAGAACTAGTTATCTGTTGATAATAAAAGGAATATTGCTCCAAAATAAACATGCCTAATCAAAAGGTTGGTGGAAAATTAGTTAACGCGATAATGTGAAGGGGCTGAAACAATGAAGGACAGTGAATTTCAGGAATATATAAGTTGATGCTGGTGATCCCAAAGGTGGCCTGAGTTGTGAATTTGACCAGTGTCAGTAACCATGAAGTGGGTAATCCTTGCACTGGTTTGTCTCCAGCTGTCAGAGGGACTAATCAGGTTAGTAATATAATAATGAATTTCTATACTTATGTAAAGAATATATCAAGTTAAAAAATTTTGGGAATAGCCTTTTCTTCAACATTCTACTTTACATACAAGACATCATAGAAATATTATATCAAACCACATTCACCACTCTGTAATCAACAGTTAAAGATCTGTTTATGCAGTGAATTATGAAAACAGATATTAATTGGTATACAGTTTTAAGTTGCTTCTAGTATTGTCTTTGGAAATGTAACATATATTTGTCTTTGACTCACTCCTACTGTATGAGATCCCAATAGCCTATTTCAACAAATATACAACTTCTTACACTGGTACATCCATGCACATGTACATATTTTATAGCTTTGAAGTATTTATTTCCATTGTGTGGAATTTTTCCAGCCTTAAAGGATCACTATAGGGTCAGGAACACAAACATGTATTCCTGACCCTATAGTGTTAACACCACCATATAGCCCCCCTGGGTCCCTCATGCCTCCATAAATTTAGCAACATCTTGCTGTACTTTAAGCCTGAAGCTGTAACTCTGCATGCTGTTAGACTAAAAAAAACAAGCAATCTGCTGACATCATTAAAAGTGGTGGCCTGATCCAATCACAATGCTTCCCCATAGGATTGGCTGAGACTGACAAAGAGGCAGATCAGGGGCAGAGCCAGCATGATTCAAACACAGCCCTGGCCAATCAGCATCTCCTCATAGAGATGAATTGAATCAATGAATCTCTATGAGGAAAGTTCAGTGTCTGCATGCAGAGGGAGGAGACACTGAATGTTTGGATGCATTTTAGGCAGCCATGACCCAGGAAGGATCTCTAACAGCCATCTGAGGAGTGGCCAGTGAAGTTATCACTAGGCTGTAATGTAAACACTGCATTTTCTCTGAAAAGACAGTGTTTACAGCAAAAAGCCTGAAGGTAATGATTCTACTTACCAGAACAAATTCAATAAGCTGTAGTTGTTCTGGTGACTATAGTGTCCCTTTAAATATATAATTTTACCTATTTGTGTTTGAACATTGTCTTTTTAACACTTCTCTTATGTATGCAGAGAATAAGTTGGGTATGACGTTAATGATAAGGATTAGGAGGAGTAGATATTTGTGTTATAAATTCGGGTTAGGTTAGAGTTAAATTGAGTCATTTGGGTTAGGCAGTACAAGGTAGGGCAAGGAAATATAGAGTAAGCTTTTAGGGTATGCCAGGTAGGGTACAGTATTAAGGAGAGGAGTTAGGAGATAACAAGAGTAGTCAAGGGTATCATGAACAGTTATCATTAGGGTATAGGAAAATAAATGAATGTTAGAGTGAGGCTTAGGGAGTAGGGTGATTAGGAACACAAAATGCCAGTTAGAATAAGATAATAAGGTGAGGAATTGGAAAATTGGAATTGGAAAAAATAATGCCAGTAAGAATAAGATAATAGAGTTAGGTGTTAAAAGGTAAGTAGTTAGGGGAAAGGGATAGTAATTACTTTAAGATGACCAGGTAAGATCAGAGCATAGGATGTAAAGTTAAGGAACAATATAGTAATAGACTCCCTACTTAGGTCATAGACTCCCCTCACAATGGAATAAAAAGCATTGCCGCGCTGGTCTCCCCTCCATGGCTAAGACCACCAATCTTGACGCTCTCAGCCAATCCAATTGTTTCCCATAGGAAAGCATTGGGGGGCATTTGCGGATGCGTGGCAAAAAAGCAGTGCTGTGCCAATCAGCATCTCTTCGAAGAAATGCACTGAATCAATGCATCTCTATGGGGAGCTTTCAGCTACAAAGCAAGCACCTTCAGTTGCCATCTGAGTGATTGCCAATAGCGTTGTTACTAGGCAGCAATGTAAATACTGACTTTTCTCTGAAAAAACAGTATTTTCATTGCTTAGCCTGCTGGGATATGCTACAGACACCAGAACTACTACATTAAGCTGTAGTGGTTCTGGTGACTACAGTATACATTTAAAGTTGGAATGAGGTATTATGGAATACAGTTATATGTTCAATTTAGGAAAAAAAGGGAGAGGTTAGAGAATTCAGAAATATGTTAATGGTGGCAAAAACTACTTACTAAATTACATATTTAAAACCACGGCATGAAGATAGAAATATAGAAATAGCCCTCAGTAATTACCTTCTCTGGGAGGTACAGCACTCCCTCTAGAAAACCCAAAAGTCATCAATACCTCCTCTGGTCAATTAATTGCATTTGATACACACTCAATTAAATTATGCAAGAGCACAATTCAGTCTAATTCTATTTATGTTTGAACAGCAATCTATTCTGTAGGTAAAATATTGTAATTGCTGTTATGGTTAAATGTCTGATGTATTCCCCATTTGCTGTCCTCGTGTCCAGAGTCCCTCTGACAAAAACAAAATCAATCCGAGAGAAAATGAGGGAGAAAGGTGTTCTCAAGGAGTTTATGAAGACACACAAGAGAGACCCAGCCATGAAATATAGCTATAACCACAAATTCGACTTTGCCGTGGCCTATGAACCCATGTACATGGATGTAAGTAATTTACTAACAAACAAGAACAGATTAAGCATCATGTGAACAAAGCACATTTTTATAATTGCTATAACACATATTGGACCAGTTAATTTTATTATGCTAAAATAAATATTTGTCCTTTTACATAGGGGATTTGTATCTAGCGAAATTTCTGCAGGTTTCTAATAATCAATACCATATTAAATATTGATATCAACGGCATTAACTGGTTTGAAGTGGGTTTTACCATCATCATACTAAAGAAGCCAGAGAATTCCCTTTTATTGTAATAACTTGAACAAAATTGTTAAAGGATCTGATTCAAAATAAATTTAATTGTTAAAGATTTACTAGTAGCATAGTACATTTGTAATGACTCTAATGCAATAAAAGTTTTAAGTTTTGAGCTACACACTTTTCTTTGAACATTAAATAATATAATCATAGTGTGGTTTCACCATAAACTTCATAGTTGGGAACTCTTTAGCCATGGATATACCCTTCCTTATTAGAGAATGTATACCATTTGCAGCGTCTAAGAATGGAAGAGCAGAATCTCAGTATCAGTATGTGAGTGAATTGTTTTACATTTTGGAAACACGCAATAGAATATTTGTGATCAATTAAGATAACAGGATATATATATATAAAAAATTCATAGATCACACCATTAGGCAACTGCCATGTATTAAAGATACACAATCTAATTATTTAATTGACTGCCTCCTTCTAAAGGGCTTATCTACATTTGAGAACACTTTCCCATTGAATAACGCAAAATTTCATTTTACTAATTGGTTTAATTTCATTCTTAGGCTTGTTACTATGGACAGATCAGTGTTGGAACCCCTGCACAGAACTTCATGGTTCTCTTCGACACAGGGTCATCCAACCTCTGGGTGGCTTCCACATACTGCCAGAGCCAGGCCTGTCGTGAGTCACCATAGACTTCTAAATTGCACTCATAATCATACACAAAATTTGTGTAAAATCTTCCTACAAAGATTACGTTCTTTGTAAAATTACCCACAGAGCACCACTGCATAGTTTTTTTTTTTTACCAAATATTAAAAAAAAAAAAAACAGTTGAAGTATGGGATTGGCAAAGTCCTAATATTTGTCCCTATCATGTAAACAGCACCACTGAATCTGGATTTGATTAAAACAAGAAGCGATTTGCAATAGATTTTTTAAATATATCATTTTGTTGTGTACATGCTATGTTCTTGAATCAACAATTTTGAAAAGTTGATTTCCTTGTAGGAACACAGCCAACCTCCATAATGTTTACATTAACCTTTAAAAATGGCCACATCCCAGAATTCCTAATATTATGTTTATTAATATGTATTTGTGAAACAAACAAATCACACAATTTCATTATCATTAGGTTTCAGTGTGATCATAATGCACAGTAAAATACACAATATGAATTAATTAGGGAATTTGGCTAAGTAATGCCCCAATTTAATAACACAGTTTAGTACACATGCAACTCAATGCACTTCTGCAGTCAGAGGTCTATTACAAGCTGACTTCTGTACTGGTGTTTTTGAATTGTTTAACCTGGAGTGGGATTTATTGGTTGTGGTTTGCTCGGCTGTTGACCAACCAATATGATAATTTCTCTTGTTTCCGTGCAAATAATAAAAATATAGGTCGATTTTTTTGAAGTTCGGTTTGTGAGAGCAGTGACTAAGTTGTTTAAAATGTAGTATCTAAGAGAGCTTAATAGTCAGCTTTCTCATAAAATATCAACATATACTACAAATCAGGTGTGTCCTTAGGAAAAGGCAAAGAGGTCTACCGACCCCACTCCATATATGTGGGGCCCACTGTTAAGCTGGTGCTTTTTTATATTTACTTGTCTCAACAAGGAATGCTATAACAAGCCATTGCGTTTGTGGAGCTGCTATGATCAAAGGGATTGTGTCTCTCCGAATTGCCTTAGAAAACATATTAGGAATGGGAAAAAAAAGATAAAAGAAAGGATAGAAATAGGACTTGCCACCCACTCACTCGTTTACCCTCTTATCACTCACTCACTCACACTCAATCAATCAATCACTCACTTACCTACTCACTCTATATAACAATAAGTTTAAGGGTAGAGCAAGAAGCTATTTCTCCAGTGAAAATCAAAACATTTTAAATGCTTTTTTGAATATGAATGTGTTTTCCTTTCTTTTCTTAGAGAACCACCCATTGTTTAACCCTAGCCAGTCCTCCACTTACACCACCAACAATCAGGAGTTTTCCATGCAGTACGGAAGTGGAAGTCTCACTGGTGTCTTTGGCTATGATACTGTAACAGTAAGGATTTTATTTTGTATTCTTTTGTATATTTCTAGCTCTAGAACTTGGAACTTTCTGTTTCATAGTCTTTACTTATACAGTTATGAACTATTTGTATAGTTTGTTCAGTTTTTAAATAGAAGTTGAAAAAAACCCAAAAAACGTGTAGCTAACCAGTGGTTGAACTGGGTACTGTGCAAATCACAGTTTCTGATTGGATGCTGACATTGCATGCTCATTGAATATGCGTGGATTTGTCAGTGACTGTCTTTTGATGATATGAAAATTGTGGTGCCAGCATAACATTGTTACGTGCCAAAGAGACCAGAGGTTGCAGCCTGCATATGTCGACTTAAACCCCTCCTAAAGCCATGCCTATACCATGCCCTTAGTTCAATATTAAACCCCAATGTGTTCTGTAAATCGCATTCTGACACCAAATATTTTATTGAATTCAGAGTATTACATAAACCTATATTTAATCCAAAGCCATGCTGTACTAACCCTTAACCCCAAATGCATTAAATGTCTCAACAAGGAATGCTATAACAAGCCAGGAAAGGTTAAAGGATCTTAACATGTATAGCTTGGAGGAAAGGTGAGACAGGGGAGATATGATAGAAACATTTAAATATATAAAGGGAATCAACACAGTAAAGGAGGAGACTATATTTAAAAGAAGAGAAACTACCACAACAAGAGGACATAGTCTTAAATTAGAGGGACAAAGGTTTAAAAATAATATCAGGAAGTATTACTTTACTGAGAGGGTAGTGGATGTATGGAATAGCCTTCCAGCTGAAGTGGTAGAGGTTAACACAGTAAAGGAGTTTAAGCATGCATGGGATAGGCATAAGGCTATCCTAACTATAAAATAAGGCTAGGGACTAATGAAAGTTTTTAGAAAATTGGGCAGACTAGATGGGCCGAATGGTTCTTATCTGCCGTCACATTCTATGTTTCTATGTTTCTATGTTTCTACACACATTAATACCCCCACAGAGTGCTGTATAATTAAAAATGGTCCATTAATGTGGCACTGTTACAAATGATAAAATTGGAGGTGTCATTTTTTACAGGGGACTCGGAACTACTAATCAAATGGTGGCAAAATTAGACCTTGGGTTTTTTAGGATTCCTCTTGAGTACAACAGTTGCAGATAAATATACTTTATTGTTGGAAGGAAATTATAGTAGTAAATTGAAAATAATATTTTAATTGGATTATGCTAATATTTGTATGACAAGCACTATAACCACTAGATTTGGTGCTGAATTTTAATGGTTTGACTTCTTACCTGGGTCTACCGGCATTGCTGTCTATTTTCATTGCAGGGCTTATCTCATTGGCTGAGAGTGTCAGTTGATCTTTACATTTTAGGCTGCCAGCTGGTTCAGAGCACTTCTCTGTTTTTCACAGGTACAAGGTTTGACCATCACAAACCAAGAGATTGGTCTGAGCATCAATGAGCCCGGCACCAACTTTGTCTATGCTGGTTTTGAGGGTATCTTTGGCATGGCTTACCCTGCACTGTCTGCAGGTGGTGCTACCACTGCCATGCAAGGCATGCTGCAACAAAATCTGCTTACCAACCCCTTATTTAGTGTCTACTTAGGAAGGTAAGTAAACTTCCTCAGAGCTTCTACTTCACATCCTTATAATTTCTAAATAAGACCGCCCACTTTTTATGAATAAATAATGTAACAACCTGAGGTGGATGGGAAGTATCCCAGGTTGAAGTTGTGGTTTTCAATTGTTGTCACTAGTTTGGTCACTCGTTCCTTACTCACGTGCCAGGCGACCAGCTGGAGAGAGTGGCATGCAGAGTAATTCACTAACCCAGGCATATCACTACTGGTAGAGTGACAGAATTTCGACAGCCATGAATTGCAGCTTCAGCTCAGAAATATGTGTTTCTGTATGCGTCTTTCGTATGTGTTTGTCAGTGTTTGTGTCTATGTGTTTGTATGGTTGGACTGCCAAAGAACAAACAATATCTGGCACTCCAGCTGTTGTGGAACAAACCTTCAAGCAGTGAAACATGTTTTAGGGGAAGGTAATTCCACACCAGTGCTCTAAAAACCATCAGTAAACCACTTAACCTGTGGTCTTATGGTTTATTATTCTGTTTCCAGAACCCCATAATGGCATTATTTCCCTAAATAAATACTATACCGTTATGTTTCCCTACACTATCTCTTTCCACTACTTCCTTTATTCTCTCACACACATTGTGTAAATGTAATTTCCTGATAAAATCTTTAAATCCTTAGTTAGCTGATCCATGATAGGTAATTTCAACTTGTTACATCCATTATCATGAGTTATGACACCATATATATATAATGGTCATCCATATAACGGGTTTTGTACAAACACTATAGTGCTTAACACATTGCTAATCAATAACCTTATTTGGAATGTTGTAATTGTTTTCAGCCAATCAGGAGAGGTCATCTTTGGAGGAGTCGATAGTAGTTTGTACACTGGTCAAATATACTGGGCCCCTGTCACTCAGGAGCTGTACTGGCAGATTGCCATTGATGCGTAAGTAACTGCTAGAAAACCAAAATAAGTAAATTAATGTGAAACTGGAGTAATCGGGAGTACTCAGGATTATTTTTTTCCTACAGCTTCTCAGTCAACGGACAGGCCACAGGATGGTGTAGTCAGGGCTGCCAGGCTATGGTGGATACTGGAACCTCCCTGCTCACTGTACCACAGCAGTTTATGGGCACTCTTCTCCAGTACCTGGGAGCCGAGGAGACCCAAGATGGGGTAAGAGACTGTTGGGAAGAAGACAGATGATGAGGTTGTCTAATTTTATTTATACTTTCAAATGTTTATATATGCTTTTTAGTTATTTGCTGTTTGGATAATTCTTTAGATCAGTGGTTCCCAATCCAATCCTCATGGATCACTAACAATCCAGGATTTATGTATTTTCCTGGTTTATTCCAATGGTGATAATGACAAAACCTGGACTGTTGGTGGGTCTTGAAGACTGGTTTGGGAAACATTGCTTTAGATAAAAAACTCACTGTTCGGCGGCAAACAAAACATATATTCTAAAATGAATATATTAGTGGTAAAGTGCTAATGTTTGTGGAGAATCTTAGCATATAAAAATACACTTTACCTTTTCAGGATACCAAGTCTGAAACTTAAAAAAACATGGTTGATGTTTATGCGTCTTTATGACTGTCAAAGCGTATGGTTGTCTCTTGACTTTATTTAAATGGACAGTTTAGGCACCAGAACCACTACAGCTTAATGAAGTGCAAAAAGACTGTCCATGATGGTTGAACAGTGTAGACACTGCCTTTTCTGAATAAAAGCAGTGTTTACAAAACTGCCTAACATCAACTTTTAGTGTAACATATAGAAACAATGTAGAGGGGGAAAATGGCGCTAAAATATAATATAAAAAAACAAATGACTCAGTGAAGCTAAAAAAAAAAAATCTCCCAAGTGCTTTGTCACAAAAAACACTTAATACATACATAGGAATAGGATAATTAACAAGGTGATCGCGCACACAATGGTAAAGGATGCTCTTGATATACGATGGCTGGTATATCCTATGCAGTGTAAATATAAAAAATCATCATAGAGCAATATGTACACTTAAAATTGATAAATAAGAGTAAATTGGAACACTCACAATGTTTAGAGCCCTTTTGAGTTGCTCTAACCTGTGCAGGCATTTCATCAATTAAATGATGCAAAGGTATATTCCTCGCCTGGTCCTCCAAAGTCAGCGGATATCTTTCGTTTGGAAATCAGGAACCAGGTAAGTATAGTTCAAAACTTTTATTGGAAAAGAAAATAAGCAAAACGTGTTTCGACCATAAAATGATTTGGGACTGTGATATAATTTTGTGTTTATGTTATTTCTATTTGCAGTTCCTGGTGAATTGTAATAGTGTGCAGAACCTACCTACAATCAGCTTTACAATCAATGGAGTCCAGTTCCCTATCCCACCATCTGCTTATATTCTCCAGGTACCTGATTCCCATCATTCTGCTACTTCCTACATGGACTCTTTGATGTTGGGAACATACAGAGGAGAGACCTAAGGGGAAAATAATTGTAACAGATGTATATACAGTTTACCATTGTGCTTTAATGTAGTAGTGATAACTAGAGGTATACCTAGATTTCATGGCATTCGCGGTGGACACGTATTTTGGTACTCCCCAAAAACTTCATTTTTTTTTTGTCTCACTCTGCAACCCCCTAACTACTTTTTGTTAGTTAAATCACATGCACCTACTCACAATCATATAGTTACAGGGGCACATATACACAGCTAAGTACATACACACAGACTTACAGACACATACTCATACACAAACATTCATATTCTCACAGACTCATATCCACACACCGATACATATACAAACATCCATATATTCACAGTGACTCATACACACACGGTTAATCTTTCTTCTATATGTTGCATCAACCGTAAATGTGTGTGTATATCTATATATATCAATTCCATTTTCTAATAAGATCTAATCTTCAGTTTTCATAAAGATGCAAACATTTAATCACTTCAGAATTATTCACTATATTTCTGAATGGACAAAATCTGGTGAATATGGTCAATTATTATATTTACTAATCTTATTCTGGTTGGAATTTAGCCAACCCGACTTAATCTGCACTAATCAGCCGTATGCATTTTGTGTCCAGATTAAAAACAGTCCTTTTCGCATCCAAGCCCTCTACAAAGTATAGTATAGTAAAGCTTACAGCAGTGCAAGGGTTAACTATGTGGTCGCTGGCCAAAGCTTGATAGCCAGCAACAGATTAAAATTTTAAAAATCCACATATTTTCTAAACCACCCTTATGCCCACACTTGCTATGAGAGGCACATCTACTAAACTGGGCAGCCATTGTCCATCATCATTTGGTCTTTATGAAATCCAGACCATATTCAGACTCATTCGAAGCTCCCAGACATTGTTAAATAGATTGAACACCTTCCAGTTTTTGCATTCCGAATGGCCCTGTACAGCAATGAGTGGCCATTCAGAGTTTAGTTAATAAACCTGCTGTGCCTGCTAATTCCCTAGCATTGTGTTTTTTACAGTAAAGATTTAGATCCGCTGGCAGAACTCAGCTACTCTCAGCAGCCTGCTTGCCTGATACACATGATAGGAAATCATGGATCATTAAAGGAACACTATAATGTTGGAATGCAAACATGTATTCCTAACGCTATAGTGTCATGGTCCATATTTAGATTCACCACCCGTAAAAAAAAAAGAGAGAAAAGGTTTTACTTGCCAAGACTCACTTGGTGTTACCACCTGCATTTCCTTCAGTGTTAATTTTGGCGGCATATTTCAATTAAGTTTTAGTCATAGTCTTTTGACTAAAAAGCCATTTTAGTTTTAGTCATCTGAATTGTTTTAGTCTACTAAATCTCCAGTAGATATTCTAAAATCGAATGGGTTTAGTTAAAGGCTGTCTCTTTTGCCCCTTCCCCAGCCCCTCTGTGTCTCTTTGTGTCGTCACAGCACCTCTAGGTGTCTCTCTCCCAAGCCCCGGTCTGTCTCTTTGGCCCCTTCCACAGCCCCTCTGTGCTGTGTTAATTTTGGCAGCAAATTTCAGTTTGGTTCTAGTCATAGTCTTTTGACTAAAAAGCCATTTTAGTTTTAGTTGTATTTTAGTCATCTGAATGGTTTCAGTTTTAGTCTAGTTTTAGTCGATGAAATCTCAAACATTTCAGTCGACAAAATTAACACTGATCTCCTTCTGCAACATAATTCTGTAGATGTTGCTTTTGCGATGATTGTTCTATTGGGCAGACTAGATGGGCCGAATGGTTCTTATCTGCCGTCGCATTCTATGTTTCTATCCAATGCTCCTCCTCGTGCGGCGAGCACTGCACACGTGTTTAATGATATGTTTCTCACAGGGAAGCATTGAATGTAATGCTTTGCTTTGAGCTGCATTTAACAACATGTGGCTGTCAGACAGCCACTATACGCAATGCTTTAGATAGAAAGTCTAAAACGAATGGGCCAAGGCACCCTGCCTTTAGTGGTCATTTAAACTGACTTCGAAGCACAACTGATTTTAGCAACATTGCAGCTGTTTACACTGCTTTGTGAATTAATGTGATTGCTATTAATTAGCATCATTCCAGCTTGTCCCTATCCTAACGAGGTCTCCCTACTTGTCTTTTATAATTGTGCATACACTGCAACTTTATTGGGTCTCAGTAAATGCAAAATCAGTTTTACTGTTGAATTTCAAAGTTTAGGCCAAAGTAGCTGAACTTAAAAACATCTAAATTAGATAATTAATTACGTTTAATTAATATGTCCTAAAATGACGTGCCTTTTTTTTTTTTTTTTACTTATTTGCTCTTTATTTCCCCAGAATAATGGATACTGCTCAGTTGGGGTAGAAGTGACTTACTTGCCATCTCAGAATGGACAACCCTTCTGGATTCTGGGAGATGTCTTCCTCAGAGAATACTACTCCATCTACGATATGGGCAACAACCAAATGGGCTTTGCTCAGGCTGCATAAACAGCATGTGTAACAATGTAGAGAATACTGAAAGAAAAGCATAGCAATCGTAATCATTTTACCAGTCACCAAAATGAATATTGCCAATCGACAAGTCCTGTAAGGTCTCCTATTGTTCACATATCTCCTATGCAGCTTTGTGATAACCCCATGGCCCCTTTAACTGGGGGTTCATTATAAATATTGAACCCGCATACCTCCGTGTGGCTCACAAACTCATCATTGCAAGCCATGCACATTCAATATGATGTTAAATGTCTGTGGGCTTTTTGCATACAATACACTATACTACAATAATTCACATTTACACTCCTGAAAAATCTGTTTCATCAAATAAAGCGTGACAGTGAAAAGGTATAATTCAATGTGTATGTCATTTATTTGTTAGGGTCTATATGTTTCAAGGACATTTTATATGTTTCTAATATATTTACAATATTGGTAATGATTGAGTGCCAACCACTTGGGGTCACCAAAGTTTACCAGCTGGAGCTATCTTATTTCTTGAAAATGTGCGTGAACATCCATCTGAACATTTTGTATACTCTGTTGTACCATTAACTCGTGCATTCGTTTAGTTCTAGAAAGAAAGGAATTAAAATAAATCTATTTCCCAATAACACTACCTTCACTAAACACTACCCTGCAGTTTGTTTAAAAGCATATATCTTATATGTTACATGCATCCCAAGTATCTCATTTTAGAAGGGGGAATCCCTATTTTGGGTCAAATCTCTCTTTTCAGTCCTAATGAACCTCTTTTCTAGGAGCTCCATATTTTTGGTGTATCTGCGTGTATAACAGAACTCCTCAGTAAATTCACAGGCACAGTCTGTTCACTTTAGGTTTACCATAAAGTGAACATGCAACTCACTAGGGCGTGAGATCAACAAAATTAAAAATATGAAGAAATAAAATTCAATATAATGCTTTACATTACATATAAATGATAACCACATAACATAACTGCCAAAGAAAAATGACTCTTTAACATGAGGTTTTACTTTAACCTAACTGTAACAGTATTATCCACCTGATTAGTTAATATTCAGAAATTACTGAGAAATAAGATATAAATATACTTCATTGGTTACTTTACTAAAAGGGGTACTGTAGTTTCCTTCTAAAAACTTTTTCCACACTTAAAGGAACATTATAATGTCAGTAATGCAAACATGTATTCCTGGCACTACAGCGTTGGTGGGACTGTTTAGGTGACTTGCCTCGCTCCGATCGTGTGTTTCGGAGCACCTTTTTTTCCATGCCGTGTCAGTCTCGCCGCGGCTGGCCCCACCTCCATGGCTGAGCTCATCAATTTTGATGATCAAGGCCAAGCAAATGCTTTCACATAGACAGACAGATATAACTTCATTCTAAGTGTATTTTGATATAAATATATATATATATATTAACATCAAAATACAGTTAGAATAATACTACATATATATATATATATATTTTATTTCATTTAGTTTTAATTAATTATTATTTAGTTTTTATTATTAATATTGCCATTTATATAGCGCCAACAGATTCCGTAGCGCTTTACAATATTATGAGAGGGTGGATTTAACTATAAATAGGACAATTACAAGAAAACTTACAGGAACGATAGGTTGAAGAGGACCCTGCTTAAACGAGCTTACAGTCTATAGGAAGTGGGGTATAAAACACATTAGGACAGGAAATAGCAATCAAATAAGGTAGGAGTGATGCAGAGCTCGTGGAGAGAGTAGAGTGCTGCCCTTAAGGAGAGAGCAAGAGATAGGTATGTAAGGTAGAGGTTACTCTGGGAGGCCATAAGCTTTTCTAAAGAGATGGCTATTGTGCAGACGTGGCAAAACGCTAAAATTGTTTTGTGCTAATCAGCATCTCTTCATTGCAATGCATTGAATCAATACACCTCTATGGAAATGTTCAGTGTCTCCATGCAGAGGGTGGAGACTGCACACTTTTCTGTGAAAGGCAGTGTTTACATTAAAAAGCCTACAGGGACAGAATATAGGCACCAGAACCACTACATTCAGCTGCAGTGGTTCTAGTGATTATACTGTCCTTTTAACCCTACAGGGACCAGACCGTTTTAAAATTTTCTTATCGTTAAGGACCAGCTGTAATTTTCCTCTTACTCATTTACTGTACCCACACATATTATATACTGTTGTTCTCGCCATTAAATGGTCTTTCTAAATATACCATTATTTTTATCATATCATATAATTTACTATAAAAAAATTATAAAATTTGATGAAAAAATGTAAACAAACACACTTTATCTAACTTTGACCCTTAAAATCTGTTATGCATCTACAACCGCCAAAAAACACCCATGCTAAATAGTTTCTAAATTTTGTCCTGAGTTTAGAAATACCAAATGTTAACATATTCTTAACTTTTTTTTGGAAAGTTATAGGGCTATAAGTAGAAGAAGGACATTGCTGTTTCAAAATATATATTTAAACATTTATCAGTAGTGACATTGTAACTTATCTGTCATAAATCTCTTAATTACACCTCACATGTACATATTTTTTTAAAGTAGTCAACCAAGGGTATGCAATATGCGGTATGTCCAGTCTTTTTTATTAGCCACTTAGTTACAAACACTGGCCAAAGTTAGCATTTATATTTGTTTGTGTGTTAAAAATGCAAAAAACAATTATGAACGCTAACTTTGTTTGCTACTAAAAAAGACTGAACATGCCCCATTTGCAATACCTTGGGTTGTCTTCTTTTGCAAATGGTATGCCATCATGGAGGTAATTCTCATTCCTGGGCTACCATATGCTCTCAAAGGCAACATAACCAATCTGGTAAATTTCAATGTGAAAAAACAGAAAATCAAGCCTTATATTTGGTCCTGTAACTTTCAAATATACTATAAAACCTGTACATGTGGGGTACTGTTATACTCGGGAGGCTTTGCTGAACACAAATATTAGTGTTTTAAAACAGTAAAACGTATCACAACACTGATATCATCAGTGAAAGTCCTCTATGTGTGTAAAAAATTCAAAAAATGTCACTTTCACTGACAATATCATTGCTGTGATATGTTTTACTGTTTTGAAACACTAATATTTGTGTTCAGCGAAGTCTCTCGAGTAAAACAGTACCCCCCATGTACAGGTTTTAGGGTGTCTTGGAAAGTTACAGGGTTAAATATAGTGCTACCAAATTAAATGTTCTTGACATTTGGCCTGGGTTGTCAGGCAGGTCCCCCAAATTGCAATCAATAAAATTACTTAATTATGTAAAAATATTACATAAATATGCATGTAGAATTTCAATATATATATACATATTTATATATTTGAAGGCTACCTGTATATTTATGAAATTATTTTTGTAATGATGTATATGGACATATGTATATTTCGTATTATTTTTATATACATAGACAGACAGATATAACTTCATTCTAAGTGTATTTTGATATAAATATATATATATATTAACATCAAAATACAGTTAGAATAATACTACATATATATATATATATTTTATTTCATTTAGTTTTAATTAATTATTATTTAGTTTTTATTATTAATATAGCCATTTATATAGCGCCAACAGATTCCGTAGCGCTTTACAATATTATGAGAGGGTGGATTTAACTATAAATAGGACAATTACAAGAAAACTTACAGGAACGATAGGTTGAAGAGGACCCTGCTTAAACGAGCTTACAGTCTATAGGAAGTGGGGTATAAAACACATTAGGACAGGAAATAGCAATCAAATAAGGTAGGAGTGATGCAGAGCTCGTGGAGAGAGTAGAGTGCTGCCCTTAAGGAGAGAGCAAGAGATAGGTATGTAAGGTAGAGGTTACTCTGGGAGGCCATAAGCTTTCCTAAAGAGATGGGTTTTAGGGCACTTCTTAAACAATTGAGGACTAGGGGAGAGTCTGATGGCGGTAGGCAGGCTATTCCATAGAAAGGGAGCCACCCACAAGAAGTCCTGCAAGCGTGAGTTGGCCGTACGGGTGCGAGCAGCGGACAGGAGAAGGTAAGGGGCGGAGCGGAGACACCAAGAAGGGGCCTGGGTTGACAGGCAGGTCCCCCAAATTGCAATCAATAAAATTACTTAATTATGTAAAAATAAAACACGTATATATATAATATATATGAACCATTCTAGCCCCAATTATATCTCTTCACAGATCCATATGGATCTGTGAAGAGATATAATTGGGGCTAGAATGGTTCATATATATTATATATATATACGTGTGTAATTTTACTCTAAGTGTATTTTTATATTAATATATTTATATATTAATAAAAAAAATACACTTAGTATGATGTTATATATGAGATACATATATATATATATACATATTATATATAGATATAATATATATATATATATCTCATATATACATATATATATTTTTTATTTTAATTTATGAAACTTTATTTTTTTATTTTAAAACTTTTTTTCACCAGTCAGGGGACTGCCTGTCAGTTCAGGCAGTCCCCCTGCAGGCAGATGCCTGGACGCCTATTGCGGATATGTGATCGCTCTTTTTTAATATATTATTTTATTCTTCACTGAGTACCTCGACACCTCGAGGCACTCAGCACAGGAAGAGCTTTGGAAGCCTGCCTGATGGCTACCGATGCTCTGCCTCACCGCCGGGCGCCACGTGGGTTAGCGATCATCTGGTGGCCCGGCAGTGAGGGGGGGTATTGCTGAATGCCTCAACATCGAGGCATCGCTGCAATACCATCAGAGCGGCTGGAAACGATCATGATCACTTCCAGCGCTCTAATTCGCAGAGGACGTATCAGGTACATCCGAGGTTGTTAACAACCAGTTTTTGTCGTACGTCCGAGGTCACTAAGGGGTTAAATGGTATGACTCTTCTGAAAGCACACTTCATCTAGAGGGATAAGTGCTTAATAATAAGTGCCCCACGGCAATAGTTCCTACCTCTTTGGTTCTGCATGCAATAGTTCCTACCTATTTGCATTAAGTATTGATTTAATTAGTAAAAA